CCACAGCTCATTTTGCAGCTTGGCTACTTTCTTTTGCTTTGATGACAGCCATCAATTCACTCACCATCAGCATCATCATATAGGGAAAAAATGTCTGGCCAAGTGAATAAACAGTGCATGTGGGGCTAATATCACTGAATAACGTCACTGCTCTGGGAGCCAGAGGACCTTCAGCCCCAGAAGGAAGGGATGAAATTCCAAGTAGCAAACAAAGATCAAAGAGGAGGCAGCAATCCCTCAGGAATTTGCAAAAGGCAAACAGAAAGTAAGCAGAGGTGTGGATCAGGTAAGAACAATGCAATGAAAAGAGGATTTACTGGGTTTGTTTAAAAAGAACTGAGGATGGCTATCAAGAAATGTTTCTGAACTTCAAGCAGCTCTAGGAATTGGGCCAGTGACCTTCAAGATCTGCTTTCAAGAGCTAAAGCCAGGTGAAACAGAGCTCTAGGAATCATCCTCCAGTGAGTACTTCTGGTGAGGCAGGGTAGAGAGAAGAGACTGGCCAGATGGTACCTTCCTCCTAGAACTGCAGAGAAGCCACCAGTGCAAGGGGGAGACACACAGAGGTACCTGCACACAAGCGTTTCCATCATTCCTACAGTGGTATAAGTCATTTGAGTAAAAGCAGTGACTGTTGTGAAGATTGTGTTTGTTGGCACAGACAGCTGACTTCCCTGTACACCAGTCAGTATTGGCAAAGTTCCTTCGATCTGGATGCAGGGGCAAGGGAAGGGGACAGAAGTGGATGAAGGCTGGCCCTGGCACATAGAAAAAGAAGGGCAGGGGACAATGTTTCTCCACTTGGGGCCCTCAGGAAGAGAGGCTGCCAGCTACTCTATTCAGATTCAGGTCCCTGTGAACTCCACCCTTCCCACCCATGCTCTGATGTGACCTTAACAGCCTGGATTTCCTACCAGGATATTATCATTTTGATTGCCTCCCTCTCAGAGTTTCAAGTCATTGCACAAAATTAGCATGCACAAAATCAGTGAGTTAGGAAACGGAATCCTTAGAATATGTTGCAGGAGTGTTGCTCAGGTCACTTGGCATCACATTACCATATCCTTCCATTCTGCATCTGGTCAGGTGGATTGTGACATTCCTAGGTGAATGCTATGGACCAGCGAGTGAAGGCAAGTGGGGCAATGGGTTTACCATTGCCACAGGATCTTTGGTGGCTCTGCTGAATCCATTCCCTTCTGCCTCACATTATTTGGCCTGTTTGGGAATAGAGTGGCTACTCACTGGCTGGAAAATGTGGTGAACAGTCAGAAACTCCTGAGTTCCTCTTAGAGGGGTCATGTCTAGGGAATGGCAAGCTGTTGCCAAACTTTCCTCCTCCAGTATCCCCTTTTTAACAGAGACCATGGCATCTTGAAGCTGCTGAGTCCATGCTCTGGCATGACTGGCACCTTCATGATCCCTCTTCCTGGTGTCTTCTGGAACCTGAGTCGCCTCAGTGTTGCCTCCACAGAAACCTCTGGTGCTGTTGGTGAAACCTCTGTCCACATTGACCATATGGAATTTTCTTCCAGCTCTCTTCTTCTTCTTCTTCCTGGTCTTGTTCTGGAAGAAGAGGCAGGTGAAGACCTGTTTGAAATGCTTGCGGAAGTGCTTGGAGATGAGGGCGTAGACAATGGGGTTGAGGCAGGAGTTGGTGTAGGACAGGCAGTGGGAAGCCAGACGGCAAGCATAAGTGGCTCGGTTGAAGGGGAAGTGGCCAAACCAGAAGCAGAGGATGACTAGGTGGTGGGGCAGCCAGCAGAGGCAGAACAGGATGGCCACAGCCACAATCATCTTGGTGACCTTACGCTTGGCCTTCCGGGACTCTGAGATTCTTTCTATGGGGTCTACGGAGGTCCACAGGAACTTGACGGTCCTAAGGTATGCCAGGCTCACCACGGTCACAGGCAGGAGGTATCCAAAGACAAACGTGAGGATGTCCAGAACCTTTCGGCGCTGGTCCTCCCAGATGGGGACGCAGATGGGCACACCATGGTAGTGGATTATCTGGTAGTAACTGAGGTAAGGCCCTGCGAAGAGCAGTGACAGTGACCAGATTACTGCAATGGCCACTCCTGCGTTTTGGGAGGTGCGGAGGTCACGGGACTTCAGTGGATAGCGAATGGCCAAGTACCTGCCAAGGAGGGGAAGGAGAAGGATGGGTGAGATGAGGTATTTCTCCTGCTCTGTGGGGCTGCCATCTGTGCACCCCTACCCATGCAGGCACTCATCACTCCCCTCCCACACATCTTGGGAGTGAGGGTTACAGTGAATTCACAACTATGTCAGGGTCATTCTAACAGTGAGGCTGGGATTTCCATCATCCACTCTGCTGCACTAGCTCAGGAAGGGCAAGCAGTGTGACTCCTGAACCAGGGAAAGGAAGGACAGGAGCAAGGCTCTACTGTCTCCTCTGAGGTGTGTTGCTGTCCCAGTGCTTTTACTGTTCTTGGTTACGCATGGTAGACATTCCTCCTTCCCAAGTGAGAGCCAGTAATCAAGCTGAGAGTTTGGCTTTGTGGAGGACAAGGACATGGGGAGCTGGCTTTGCTGGCTCTGCCCCTGGAGAAACCCAGCTGCTTCTTACAGGACACTCAACAGGGCAGCCTTTCTCCCACCTCTTAGCTCAGGGGTGGCAAACGCATTGTCTCTGAGCTGAGAGACTCAAAGAGAAGGGGAGACTTACCTGTCAATGGAGACGGCAGCCAGGGTAAAGCTGCTGGCATACATGGTGAGGTAGATCAGGAAATGCACAGCCTTGCAGGCAAAGGCCCCAAAGAGCCACCCATCCAAGGTGTAAATGGTGGCCTGGAAAGGGACACAGCAGATAATGAAGCACAGGTCAGCCACAGCCAGGTTAAGGATGAAGAGGTTGGTGGTGGTGTACTTGACTTGGCCATTCTGCAGCAGCACAGCCAGCACCAGCCCATTCCCCACAGTACCCACGAGGAAGATGAGGGAGAAGATGATGGGTACAATAATCCCTGCTGCTTGAAGCTCCAGTCTATTAGAAGAGATGTTCCAGCCCTCTGGCATCTCCCCACCTGACCGTGGGGACCTGCATGGGGAGAAAGAGAGAAAGCCCTAAGGTGCCTGATCCCAGCCTTTGACACCCATGTTTCTCCCAGAGATGCCAATCTCAACCAGCTGGTTAAATGATGACACCAAGATCCCCATGATGTTGCTGGCAAGAATGTTGTTGGGATCAGTTAGCACACACCTGGCTTGAGCAGAGCTGAAGCCCTTTTCTCCAGCCCAGATTCACATTCCCACCACAGCATCTCCTGTGCTCCCAGCCCCCCAAAGGGTCTCCGCTACCCTGCCACCTGGCCTCCACTATATTCCTCCTACAGTCCCAAAGCTGCTAAACCTCTTGGGATTGCTAGCTTTGGCAAGTCTAAACCCTGGCTGGTATTCAACCAGGCTTGTCCAGGAGGCCATGAGGAAGGGGGCTCCCATGGGCTGCAAGTGATCCTGGCACACTCAGCCCAGGGCTGTGCCGCCTCCGTCAGCAGGGACCTGATGCCTGGATCACACCCCACAGCAGCAGCACCCCAACATACTCTTCTCACAAGGGAACTCCTTAAGCTGGGGCCACCTCCGCTCCAGAGCTGGCTGCTCCTTGCTCCCTGTGCAGTAGCTATGCTCCACAGAGGAGAGGCAATTAAGGGCGTCTTTTCACGATACTGAGAGGTGGTAATGGGCTGGATGGTGGCAGCTACATGAGGAGCTGCCTGAAATACCACACGATGATCATTGCAGAGAAGCGTGTTGTTACCGCAGCTCAAGGTATTGTGATTTACTGCAAAACTTTCTCCTGCCCTGCGTAACACTGCACTCAGGCAGAGAGTGCCAACAGCCTATCTCCAAACGAACCTTCCCCTTGTTTGCTATCACTAGAACAAATTGTCCTTCTCTGAGCAGTAACTGTGAGAGAAAGACACCATTTATCTAGCTGCTGTTGACATTCAATTAACTCTGTTTTGGGTCATGCAAGCTCCTTCACCCCATGCTCCCCCATGTCTCAGCTCACACCACTTCTCTTTCCCAGCTCCTATGTATATCACACCAAAAGACTTTCTCTGCCTCTCTGGCTCTTCTGTCCCCTCTGTCCTACTGATAGCTATCCATCTGGCCCCATGAGATCTCCTCACTGGAGCAGAGGAGCCCGGCCTCCCTCTGGGCATGCATGGGCACCAGGGTGTCTCTGCTCAGCGAGCCTGAGGCCACCTCTCAGCTTGGGAAGCCAGTACTCACCTTTTCAAGGAAGGGCCTGGAGCTTTGCCACTCGCTTGGGGAGGGGGAGACCTCTGGTCCAGCCCAGGTAATGGTGACAAGGAGGATGCAGACTACCAAAGAGTTTATCCAGGCAGCTTGGTCACCCCAGTCACTCCTGCCTGGTGCTCCGCTGCCTTCCCCTGCCTACCACCAGCTCTGCTCTGTCTCCTTCTGGAACTCCTCTCCTTTCTCTCTGTCTCCCCCTTTTTCCCCTCCCTCTGCTCTTGCTGCTGATCCATAGATCTGTGTTGATTTTTTTTTCCCCTTTCTCTGAGGTTGGGTTTGGAGTTAACTCCTCTCTGCCCAGCTTTCCTGCAGGCTCAGCTGCTCCCTGTTCCAGTGAGGAGGGAGTGGCAGAGAAAAAACCCACTACTTTCTGGTGGGAGAGGGAGGATGGAGGGGGGAAGGGTCCCATGGACCCCAGTGGCCACTCCTCAGTGCTGGATATTCAGGATGTGTTATCCAACACCTCCAGGGAACATGAATACAGCCTGGTCCCTGCCCTGTCTTTGGGATAGGACCCTAAACCCTCTGGAGCGTGAGCAATTAATTGTTATTACTAGCTGTTAATAATAATTGTTAATAGCATGGCTCTGAGCAGATTGAGCCTCTCCCACAATGTCTGATCTGGGGAAGGGGGAGAATGCAGGTTTTGGTTTCCATCCAGCTCAGACCTGCACGCCACCAGTGCTGCAGAGTGAGGAGGTTCTATCAAGGAAGGTTCCATCTCCAGATGTTCAGCTCCATCACAGTTGCCTGGGACAGCATGGATGCTAGCTGATGTGCCAAGAGATGACAGTGACCCACACAGCTCTCCTGTCCTGCTACCCTATTGCCATGTCCACCCTGGTGACAGGACCTGTATCCTGAGGACTTTACAGGTATGCTAAGACTGAGAGTGCAGCTTTGTGATCTTTTCCCAGCAAGACTCAGTTTCCCTTCACTGGGAAGGTCTGGGCGCCTTTTCCAATGATGGAGCAGGATGCGGAGAAGGAGGTGCTGGCCCTTTCTCCCCTCCACAGCAGCCCTGATACCCCTCTGGGCTCAGTGGAACCCCTTGGCCTGGCAGGAGGGATCATACAACCTCTCCATCCCACATGCCCCTGTAGCAGAAGGGAGCATGGTGACCTGCCAGCTCACTATCAGCTGCTGTAACCAGGGAAAAGGGGAAGGGCATGCCTTGGGACGTGGTGATAACCCAGGGGATGCAGCAGATGACAAGCCTGCACCCTGCCACAGAGCTGCTCACCATGGAGGGACCACACCGCCGCTGCCTCCTCCTCCTCCTCCTCTGCCTGCTACCAGCACTGGGCATCCCAGGCCCACCACCGCCTCTGGAGGAACCTCAGGACCTGCCACCGACACTGTCCAGCACTGCTGACCCCACTGCCCACCTGCTACGTGGTCGCCCCTCAGCCCCAGTGCGGCCCTACAGCCTCTCGCTGTCCCCTGAGGATTACCGCTACTCCCCCAAGCCCCGGCACCTGCGCCCCGGGCGGCTGCGACGACTCCTGGGCTCAGCCTTCGACCCCTTCTGGATGGCGACTGAGGAGCCCCGAGGTCGCAACAGCAGCATCCTCGAGGAGAACCTGGAGTCCATGAGCAGGGACCTGGCAGAGGGTGCTGGGCGCTATCGCCGCAAGCTGTGGCGAGAGGTGGAGGGGCTGGAGCTGCCCAGCCTGCTGCCCCCCGGCCCAGGGTTGCCCCCTGAGCTGCGGGGGGTCCTGGCCCGCCGCCTGCGGCAGTGGCTGGTGGAACAGGCTACCTGCCGCCTCACCTCCACCTGGGTCGACCTGGGACCTGTCTTCTGGCCCCGCTGGGTGCGCCACACCGCTTGTGACACCGGACCCCCTGGCTGCTCCTGGCCCCCTGGCATGACCTGCCGCCCCACACAGCTCACTCACATCAAGCTGCTGGCCTGGCACTGCTGGGTACCCCAGCACCCTGGCCCACCAAACTGCACCTGGCGACAGATCCCCTACCCCGTTGTGGCTGCCTGCAAGTGTTCCTGCCGCTGAGGGGGCTGCAGGGGGCTACGGAGGGACCTCCTGGTACTTGTTCTTGCAGCCAAAAAGGCCTGAAAAGGCAAGAGTCTGCCTGGATTCACCCTCAGATCTGGGGGGAATCCCCAAACGGAGAAATAAACCTCCAGAAAGGAAGTGGGGACGGCTGCTGTCATTGCTCTTTCTTGCCAAAACCCCTGGGTTGTATGTAGCTGCTTCGCCCCTCACCCACTGCAGGCAGGCATTAGCACCAGTGGAGGCCTGTGTGCAGCATTTATCTCCAGCAAAGGATGAGGCATGGGAAAATTGTGGCACCAAACAGCAGGCTCAGACCCTGTTTGCATCAGCCCCAGCTGGCTCAGTCCAAGCTGGAGCATCCCTGTCTGCCTGGGTAGGGCAGCAGGCAAGGGAGCGAGGGCAGGGGAATGTCAGCAGGGAAGGACTAGAGGGAAGGGGGTCACAGCTCGAGGTGGAATCAGTGGTGGGTAGAGAAGCTACAGGGCATCAGGGGGCAGAGGGGCAGTTTTGGGACTGCAACGAGGCAGTCTAACAAGGATAGAAGTGGGCAGGGACCCAAGGCTGGAAGCATCTGTAGGGCTGGGTGCATATGGAAATGGGACAGGATAGGACAGTCTTCTGCTTTGGGTAAGATACATGAATGCCCCACCTATCCCATGATGTAGAGGGTGACAGCTCCAGATTTGGGACTGTCAGAGTAGCACATAAGGTCTGAGGTAGGTCAGGGAGCCCAGGCTGGGAACATCCTTGAAAAGCGGTGTCTGCCTCTACATTCCACTCAGCAAAACATCCTTTGCCTTCTGGGCTAAAAGCTGCATAGAGCTGTAGATCAGATCTAGGCTGGGAGGCCTTTAAGAAATAAAGAGCTGGAGGCTTTGCCTGGGATAGCAATATTAGCGTGGTGCCTGCAGCTGATGAGCTCTGCATTACTCATTTCCACGGTGCCATCATCTGACCCTCCTGCTTTCCCAGGGCTCCAGCGTTTCCCAGTCTGCTCCCCAGACAGCCCCACAGTCTGCGGCAGAGCCTGGCCTTGAAGCAGGCAGAGATGCAGAACAGAGTGCAGGGAGTTGGCTGCCGAGAGGCCTGAGCGATACGGAGGGGAGAGGGAGGTCAGTGCGCCTGGTGAGACGAGGAGGAGGAAAAGGGGGGAGCCCACATGTGCACACAAGAACAATTGTGTGTATCGCGGGAGGGAGGCTGCTGCTGCTCTGGCTTGCAGCTGAGCAGCAAGACATCTGTATGGCTGTTCTGCCATTCAGGAGGACTTCAAAGCTGGAGCAGGGTTAAACTGCTTGGGTTGGCTGCCCTGAGCAGAGCTGAGACAACAGCAGGGCAACCTGCAGAAGGTCAGGGGAGAGGGGGAGACCAGGGCTGGGGACCAGCAGGAGAGAGGTGCTAGGGAGCATGGTACAGGTGTGCAATGGAGGTGTGCAGGTAGGTGGGAGCAAAGGGGGGGTGCACGTGCACTGGGCTTAAAACAGCAGTGATTCAGTTTAGGGTTTTAACCCCCTGTACCAGAGCCCATCTGGCTGAAGCTTCATCTCTTCACCTCTCAGGTTGCAAGAGGGGCCTGAGCACATCCCCCTGCCCTTTCCCCACTACATTCCCCGTGCCAAAATACTGCTTGTTGAAAAGGGTTTGCAGCACTGCGAGTGTGTCTGGTGCCACAGAAAGGGAACTCCATATCATAGTTTATCAGCAGGCAAATTAAACAAAATCAGCAGTTATGCTACCAGCTGTTCTAACAAGGTCTGGTTGCAGCCCTATCAAAAACGCATTTCTCCCCTGCCCTCTGCAGCCCTGGATTAACTCCTATATTCTTCTGCAGTTACTCTGGTTCAGGTCAGACATGCTATCGCCCTGTAGCTCACTCTCCGACTGCCCAGAGGCATGTAGCAATTTCAGAGCAGGTCTTTGCTGATGTGACCCAGTAGTGCTCCAGCAGCACCCAGGCACAGCACGCTCCATTTCAGTGGGAATCTGTCCCCAGCTACAGCTACTCATTCAGCACATGGGCAGGTGGCAGGACACACATGACTTCTGGAGCAAAACATGCAAACAAAGCAATCCTGTCAGATGCCCAGGACCCACTGCTTGTTCCTGCTTGAATGCTCAAATGCTACATCAACACAGCTTGGAGGAAAAAATCCAGAGATTCCTGCCTGATGGAGGAAAATTACAGGTTTCTGTCCCCTGCCCTGCCCCTGGCTGACACAGACCCTCTTGCCATGCTGCATGCCCACTGCCCGATGGCCTCTCTGGGGCAAGATGCCATTCCCAGGGCGGTTTTGGGAGCACCATAGCAATTGGCAAAGCCTTATAGCTGGTCCTGGGGACCAAGCAAGCCTCACATCTAACCCCTGAGAGTGAGAAGGAGAGAAGGAAACACTGGAGTTTTGGCTGGCCCATGTCCTCTTTCCCTAACCAGATGCTGGTGGCACGGGTTGCAAAGGGCTTGGGAAATACGCCTGCCTTGGTGGGGAATTGCAGCAGGCAGATCCGCCAGTGATGCTGCTGGACCCACAGGAGAGCAGAGAGGAAGCAAGCAACCTCAAGGCACACCAGCAACGCTGTATTTCCATCAGCAGGAGAGAACAGGAACTGCAGTGCTTCAGCATCTGGACTGAGGCTTCAGGGAAGATAGAGTGTGTGGTCACAGCACAAGAGGATGGGGATTGGGTGCAGCTCCTGAATGAGAAAACAAGAGGCAGACAAATACCCGCTGCATTGCAGGACATCTTTAATGACACAAGAGCTAGCTGCCAGTGCTACTGCCAGCACGCTGCAACAGCCACGGCCTCCCACAGGCTGCCATGCCTTGAGGATCAGTCCTGCTTTTGGCAGCATGCTGCTCAAGCCTTTTCCCCCCGGCAGAGGCACTTGGTTGTGGGCAGGGATGGTGCCGGAGGAGGTGTTTGCTGGCCCCTCAACGCAGCGCTCCGTGTTTCCGTCCCACCTCGGTGAAGGCATCCACACAGCGATCGATGTCCTCGTCACTGTGCACGGCTGAGATCTGGACCTGAATGCGGGCCTTTCCCTTGGGGACCACGGGGTAGCTGAATCCAATGACATAAATGCCTGAGAAGGAAACATAGGGAGAGTCTGAACTGGCTGGGGGGGAGAGAGGCAGGTTGATGGGTACTGGCTGATAGGAGGGCTTTTGGATCTTTCCTCCCCTCTCCCACTTCCAGCCTTCAGGGTTTTCAAGTGCCATCTTCTCCCAAGCATGGAAATGAGGGTTAGGGCCAGTAACTGGGGATGGAGTCCAGCATGGCAGGACAAGAGCATCAATCTAAATCCCCTCCCCAATAGAAAAAGAAGAAACATCTGGGGGAGACCAGGAGGATGTTTGCAGCTGGAGAGTGGAAGAGTTCCTTATGATGACTTAAATTGGAGATTTCATGCAGGAACATCCTCTGGAGGAGCACTGGTGGTGGCACCACTAACAACTGTCCCTTCCCTCAGGGAAATGTGTCTGCACACAGAGCTCTCCCCCCGGTTCACCTCTGTTCAGCATGTCCTCAGCCATGACTGAAGCCAGCCGAGCATCCCCCAGCATGACCGGACAGATGGGGTGGTCTTTCCCTGAGATAGTAAAACCAGCTGCTGTCATCTTGCTTCTGAACCTGGTGAAGAGAACAAGAAGATTATTAAAAAGCTCATCACCTCTGTCCTTGGGGACTGCTGCCTTTCTTTCCCTTGGGAACCCTGGCCACTGGTGCTGGGTAAGGTTTGCTCCACTGTGCATCCCCTGGGCAGGGAAGAGATCTCTCTTCCTGGAGTGACCTCCTGCCATGTCCTGCTCACCAAAATGGGACTGCAGATCCTTGAGGGGCAGATGTGTTCCAGCACTTAGGGCATCCAGATGTGACATACCTGCCTGCACACCTGTCTGACACACACAGACACATCCTCCAGCTTCCCCTGAGCACCCCAGAGCTCTGACTTGCAAGCTACCTTTACAGCTATCACTAGGGAGGTGGGGGTGAATAAATACACATAGACAACTCATCCCCAATGAAGCTGTCCCTGCTCCCACCCCAGTATGGCCCCCTCACCGTTGGGTTTTGGCAGCCATGGACTGTGCAATGGCATTGCTCTCCATGAGCAGGTCCAGGGCCTTGGATGCACAGCCCACCACAGCAGGGGGTAGGCTGTTGGAGAAGAGGTACGGGCGGGACCGCTGGCGGAGCAAATCGATGAGGGGTTTGGGACCAGTTGTATACCCGCCTAAAAATGAAGGAGGGAGAATTGGACAAGGCACCCCAGGGTGACCTGCTGAGAGTGGGACTTCTCAGTAAAGCCAAACTAGCACCTACAGCAGGAATTTCAGTACAAACCAGGCCTAAAAATCACAGCAGATGCTCCTGACCAAAAGTTTCCACCTTGACATCAAAGGCAAATGCATGAGGAGGATGTCAGTGGAAAGAGCATGTTCCAGGATTTCCCTTAACCCTGCAGCAGCATAACAAACCAAGCCTCATGCCACCAGCAGAAGACAACGTGCATTTGTTGCTGTATCATTAGGCAGAGGAAGAAAACATAAACAAATGCTGTGGAGCTCTTAAGGGCATGCAGGATCTTGAACAGAAAAATGTGTTCACCTGCAGCTCCTCCAAGAGCTTTTCCCAGGGTGGAATTGATGATGGTGACTTTGTCCATCACTCCCAGGAGCTCATCAGTACCCCTGTAGACAAAGGAATGTCACATTATCAGCTGTGAAAGCACACACCAGGGAAGTTGCCCGATGCCTCAAGGGAAACAAAGTGCCACCAGCCAGGTCTCTGGTGTCCCCCCTTCAGGAAAAGGAAGAACAACCCCCTGTGATAGTACAGCCCAAGTGCTGACCTTCCTCTCCTGCAGAAAGGCTATGCTGGGGATCTTGCAAGACAAGAGCATGGTTCCTCATCCTTTACAGATGAAAGAGTGATCAAACTTCCCAACCAGACATAGTAAACATGCTCTTGCAGCTTCATGTTCTCCAGCCCAAAAAGGCAGCTGTAGGCTGTCTTGAAACAGTGCTGTTGACAACACCACCAGGTTCACAACCAGCCTAGCACAAAACTCA